CTTCAATCTCTGCAATTCTTTGCGATAACGTAGCAAGGGCATTCATGATAGCATCTAACTTGGACTCTGAACTTTTCGTCATACTAATGTCTTGGCCCCCGACCATTCTAAGAGAAGGACAGAAATGACTCTACAAGAAGACAATATTGGTTTAGAGGAGGGTACTCTGCAACCTCTAAAATGCCTTAAGAGCTTCAAGAAAAGGGATAATCCGCTCTCTCCAAGAAGAATAAGACTCCAATATTGTAACAAAAGAAGTATCTGTTTAGAGGAGGGTAATCCACAACCTCTAAAGTGCTAGTACACTTCCAAGCAGAGGGATAATCCACACTCTAACAAAGAAGAAACTAGCTCTGATATTTGAGGTGAGTGAAGTCTCGACAAACTGTCACGGACACAGAATACAGACTTGATATCTACAAAGAAGTTCAAGAAGAACTGGCAAGAACTAGATTAATGAGATGAATACAAGAACAATACTAGAGAGGTGAGCTAGAGCTCCAAGAGATGTGTTGTCGAGACTGAAGAACTCTTCAGCCTCGATTCCAATATATACTCCTATTTAGGAAGCTTCTCAAGCAACTTCTACCAACTAGGAAGCTTCTAGAAGGTTCTAGAGACTTGCTTCTAGAAGGTTCTAGAAACTTGTCTCTAGAAGGTTCTAAGGACTATGTCCCTAACACAAAGCTACTATGACTATTAATTGTTACTTTAATAGAAAAGATTTTATAAATAACTTCTATCAAAGACAACAAACGACTATCTATGACTTGTACATAAATAAGTTTAATTTTATTTAGTAAAAAAAATCTATATTATTTAATAAAATTTTCATCTTAGAAATAAATTGAAGCTCTTAAGTCTAAAAAGGCAGAGGCTTTGTGATATTTAGATCCTAAATTATCATCTATAATAAAACAAGGAGATGATTTTGAAGAAAAAATAAGACCTTTATTAGGTATTATACAAGGTTTCAACCACACAATCTCTATTATAGTTGTATAAACTTATTTGTTAACATATTATCTTCTTTGATATCTATATTTTTTATTTTGTGGTTGGGTTGCTTATTTAGACAATATTAAGCAGTGTGCTTAGGTTTTCTATAATATAAAGACAATCCTTTGCATCAACAACAAGTCATTTCTTGCTCAATAAGAAATTTGAGACATACCACAGTAATTTACATATTTTCCACTTCTAAATGTATGTATTGAAAAGACATTGGTATTGTCATTAAATCATATAAATATTGGAGTTTATTTATGCAACTTTTAAATCAAAATTCAAAAAGTCAATTATTATACTTTATAGCAAAGTTAATTGCTTGATTCAATGTTTGAAGGTCTCATAAAGTAAGCATTAATTTCATTGCCTCATATTAGAATATATAAAAAAATTAGTTAATGAATGTAGCATCATGCTATTTAATATTGGTTGCAAGTTATTAAAACTATAAAATATATAATATTATTGATTGATTGTCTTATCACAAATTATAGATCTTATTGATTACAACACAAATTACATCATGTTTTCTATACATGGATCAAAACTCTGCCAAAAAAGCTTTCAAATTATCCAATATTAGATCTTGTTATTCAAAAAAAGATGAAAACAATAATAATGCAAAACTTGAAAGTAGTGTTTAAACAAACGTGACTTGTAATCTTAGAATTGAATAGTTTTATGGTTGAAGTTCAATTATCACTTGTACTTAATTGATGAATTTTCAAAACTTTGATCTTGTACTATCAAACTTTTTAGGCAAGGTAGCTCTTGATTTTCTAATGTTTAAATAATATTCTACTACAAAAAAAGTAACATGAGTTGGTACAAATATTGAAGCAACTCCAATCATCTCTATACCTTTATTTTCTATCAATCTTATTGCTCTCTATGGGAGTAAATTGTGTTGATACATTACAAGCATTAATTTCTTCAATTGTTCTTGTATTTATACCAATGCACTCTTTATTTTAAGAAGCTTTGCCATGATAATACTAGAAAAAAATAGATGTTCAATTTTGTTGAAGATAAGTAGAAGAAAGAACTTAAGAACAAAGAAAATACTAAAAACAATATCAATATAGAAGAAGGTAATCCAAAACTTCTAATATGCTTATATCTTATGAAGAAAAAGAAATAATCTACTCTTAATCAAAAAAAAAAAAATTCTGATATTATAAGTGTATTCTTGTTAATCTGTCAAAGATAAGAATTTGATGAAGGCAAATAAACAAGTGAAAGTTTTTTCAAAAAAAGATAATAAAATAGAAATAAGTAAATATGTATACTCAGAAATAAATTAAAATTTCAATTGCCAAAAAACAATAAAACTAGAGACTCTTGTAAATATATTAGGAATAAGAAAAAAATTGATAAAAATGAAGAAGGCTTTATTCTTGCCTCTATATATATTATCTAATTCAAAGCTATGTGGCAACATTCTATATGACTTCTTACACATGTCTAATTTGAAATACACATATCTTAACTTATAAAACAAGTTTTCTATACAAGTGTCATATGATTAACTTGTATCACAAGCTACCAATACATATGATATGTAGCTAACTTATTGGCGAAGTATTTAACCTATCAATCACCTGTAAACACATGTAAAGATGAAATTGTATCTATGAAGCTTTTAAAAAGCTTTTCTATAAGATATTATCAAATTAATCTATTTTTACCTATTCTTACTTATTCATATTATCTAAATAATTATTGGAATAAATATATATGTCTATGATATCTTTATTCATTCTTTCTAGTATTTATAATTAAATTTAAAGAATGTGATTAAAAAAAATTTAATAGATATCAAATTCTTATATTTACAATAATAATTATGTTTAGCTATCATATATACTACTAAATTCCAAAACCTTACTTATAATATAGATTTGAATGACAATATTTTTATTCGTTTATTTTGATATGGATTAAAAAAAAAATTAAAGACTTATTATTGACAATGCCAAAAACAAACTCATTGAAAAAAATTATTATTCAAGCCATTGCATACAATAATTTATTTTTTAAAAGCCACTAAAAACATAAATATGATTGAAGAAGAAGACATCAAGTCATAATGACAATTCTTAAGTTTTCAAAAACTTCTTCATCAAACCCAAAACCTGTGCAAAATATTATAATATTTTTCAAACCTCTCTCACTAAATAAAAAAATAATTAAAGTTGTTGAGAAGAATTGTACATATATTGTAGAAAACCTAAGTACAATACTCAATATTGTTCAAAGAAGCAACGGATTCAAAAATTGAAGAATGTAGTTGTTAAAGAAGATATTGATAACTAATTATAAATAGAAAAATGGTCCTAAAAATTAAAAATAGAATTTAAAAAATTCTTCATATTTATAATATTATTCATATAACCATACAAATCAAACTATTTTTATTATTCTTTTCACTTATCAATAGACATTTTAAATCTAATAGAATTATTTTATTTAACACTTATGGCCTTCAAAAAATAAAATACTTTTTTAATGAATCTTATTATCCATTTATGTTAGATTATATGTAATAAACATATCAAATACATCTTTAAGGCACATATTCTTAAAATGCCCTTATCTTTCACCTTCCAAGACTATAATTCCACTTCATATAAGATAGAATCAAAACTCATAATTTTAAAAAATTGTAGTAATATACAAATGAAATAATAATAATCTTTAAATAATAATCTTTTGACGTCTAATTGAACAAAAAGATATTGTGAAGGACATAAGATTCACTTGGTCTAACTTTATTAAAATTAAATTATAATTAAAATTCTTAGACCATAATAAAAATATTTCCATTAATCAAGAATATCTTTATTTAAATAGGCCAAAATATCATGTAGAAGGATTCTTAAATTCTTTTTGAGTAGCTTCAAAAACAGTGCCAATATATTTTAGAGATAAAAACATTAAGATATTTTTGGAGCTAATAAATAAACTTACTTTCAATTCAAAGAAATATTATTACTCTTTAGGCATTCAATTGATGACTTATATATAAAAATGGATAGATGTATGATTGGTAGGAACTCAATTCTAATCAACTTAAGTAACAACAAATAAATTTCAATCCTAAATCGAAATTTTTTCTTAACTAATTAATAAGATGTTTGGTTTCAATTCTATATATGATGAAAAGAAATGTTTTTTTTGGCTCATTCAATATAAGGATTTAATTATAAATAAAAAACAAGTAAAGCTAATCCCAATGTTAATACTAAAATAAAATATGGTCAAGTTTTATTGAATGTAGACAAATCTTATAAAAAGCTACATATAACAAGTTAAAAAATTACTTAACCACAAGAAATTTTTCCTAAAAAGTAGAACAAAAGATGGATGAAAATAACATAATTAAATCTAAATCTAATATGTAAATAAGTTGGATCTTGAGAATATAAAGATAGTGGCTTAATAATGCATGATATAAAGAAACAGTAACACAATTTTTTAAACATATATAATTTATTTCTCTTTTTTCTTTTTTCTTTTTTCTTTTGTTAAAAGGTGCTAAGACATAAGCAACTTTGTGTAATTAATTTTTATACAATCTAAGCAATGATTATACTTTGTTTTGTGTCGTATCAATAATACTAATAATATAATAATAATAATAATAATAACAACAACAACAACACACACGTCCTTATGAATCCATTCACTAATCCATTCACGAATCCAATGTGTTCCTCTCCTACCCTCTACACAAATTCGCGAAGAAAAAGCCTCAGAATGTGACCACAAGAAGTTTCTAAAACAGTGGGTATCTGCACACTCCCACTCACATACTCTCCACCAAACATCGTGTAGATTCAAGCAGCAACCTTGTCGATTTTTATCCTATACACGCAATAAATGGACGTGACCAGCTCAGAAAGTCAAGTGTGCTACAATTTCATCGGCAACACATGCGCAGAAAACGGCAAGTTGTGAAGGATTCACGGTGAAGATGACACTTGAAGCAGTGAAGTGAATGAGCACCAAGCAGGTGTGGAATTTTAGAAACGGTGGCGTCACATGAGTTCAGACAGGAAAACAAATCCGGACAGATCTCTGCTCTATACACGTCAAAAGCATGTGGACATGGGCTGGTGATAATAACCGCTTAAGCACCACCCACTTGTCGTAGGAGCTCTGAACTATCCCCAATCTATGCATCAGAGAGTAGCATCGACTCAAGTGGCTTTGAAGCGTTTGGGTCTTTGACGTGTAAACAGGAAGGGAAGAGTACGTGGTCCAAAAATAAGACATCGCTTGGTATCTTAGAAGAGGGATTTGGATATGTATATATATTTCCATCGACACAAGTGTTATACAATTGGCTTGGGTATTGCGGTTCTCAGATTCGAATCCAGACTTGCAATGCGCTTAGAAGACATGATCGAGCTTCAGCCCTGGATTTGCCGGAGTAAAACAAAGTACGATTCAGAAAACAAGCTTGCTACTAAGCTTGGTTTGGATCCAAACCAAGAGCGGTGAGGATCTCAGCGTTCGTAGGCTGATCACCGAAGTCCTTTTGGCGGTGGTCGAGCAACAGCTCTCCTCCCTTGGCCATCACAAAAGTTGCTCCCAATTGCCTGCAAAGGCGACACACTTCTATCAACTTCGAAGAAAACGAGCAGCGAGTTTTTTTCATATCAACGCAAATGAATCATTTCACTCCTGTGCGCACATGTGACATTTTGCTCGGAGCACAAGTATGAACTCAGATTGCTGTTTAGGGAGGGCAAAGTTTCATGTTCAATAGGAACAGTGCGAGTTTGATCACGCACCTGCCGTCGCCTTGGAAGTTACCAGGCGTGTCCTTGGTTTTCTGAGCAGCCTCCTTGACGGATTTATTCGCGAATAGCATCATGAATGTTCCAACCCATCCCACCTTCGTGAGCGCCAGGGCTTTGTGTATCTTCTTCTCGTTGTCAATGTACAACTCGCTTTTCCAGTAATTATTCTCTTCAAATTCCTCCAGGCCAAACTTCTCGAGACCTGCGCGCAACAACAATGAGTGTCGATGTAAAGATTGAGATGTCAACGTAGAACATGTCTCTCTATTTCTTCGTGAAGTGATCAGAGGTGTGATAGTAATGGAATTGAGGAACTTACCGATGCCCACAACGCGGACGTTGTTAGCCTCCAGTTGAGAAAGCATTTTCGCCATTTCAACAGACTGGCCTCGACAAAGCTGACACCCGAATCTTCGAAGTACGTGCAACACCACGGGCTGATGATGGCAAGATTATCACGGCACTATTGAGTTGGTCTCATATCAATTCGAAATCCGTTAAAAAAAATCAAAAAAACAAAAAAAACAAAAAAAACAAAAACAAAATCTATCTCAGAATATTACAAATGATGCAGCTCTCTTCTTACACGATGTCAGGCGTAAACATCAAACCCTGATTTCCATCGGCGTAACGAGATATAAAAAACACTCTTTAACTCGACACGAGAATCTGAACATTCTGCAATTTTGTTATATACATTGCAGTAATGGCGTGTACTCTTAAGTGTAGTTGAGAATCGGGGGCAAAAAACAACGAGTAGGTAACGTGAAAAAAGGAGACTGAAAATACCTGATCCTCCCAGAAGGAACTCAACTTCACATTTTGAGAATCTCCAGGACCGCGGATCTTTTCCACCTCAATGTCCTTGAGCGCATCTGCAACAGCCCTTGAGCCTTTCTCGGTACTCATGACTGCATACACAAATCCAACCGAAAACGAAATGGAGATTAGCTCTGAGGCCTCTGATATCTAAATAAAACAGCAACAAAGCCAGCACAAGATGGCATTCTCATTCTCCCACTCACCATCCTCTCCAAAACGGTCTAGAAAGGACTCATGAAGCGAAATATTCGTGAAGGAAAAAAAACATGAGTTAGACCTCAGATGCAGATTGAAAACAAGGACGTAAACAAACCCACGCAGACAGAAAATTATGCGGGGCGTATTAAATCCTCCAGAATTGAACTTAAACAATACAATTACTAGACAACTCATGCTCTGGAAATAACACTGCTCACAATACAGACCTCAAAATGGTAGCAAAAAACTCGAACACACAGCCAGACACTAATCATAGAATTCCTCTCAAACGATGGACCTTCAACAAACCGAGCAAAAACCACCGTCGCATACGACACTCGACAATAACAAGGAGAAGAAAACAAAACAAAACAAAAAAAAAAAAACACGGAAAGGGATGCAGCGCTTCACCGCGCAGTCGTCTCGCGCGCTCCCGAAACACACCACGACACAAAAAAGCGCACGCACATCATCGAACACCGAACAAACTCAACAAAGGCAGATATGCATCACAATCAATTCCACGAAGAGCAGCGACTCGCACCGTAATCCTCCTTACGAGACAAAATTGGCTGCGAAACTTGGTTGTAGACTGTGGGTTTTGCTCCAGCAATGTAGTAGATTGAGGAAGGCAGTGTGGCTGCTACAATCCAAGACCCAAACCAAACCAAACCAAGACGGGATTTAATCTTTCCGGCCGTGGATGGTTTTAAATACCCTCCAGTCCCCACGAGGATTCCCCATAAAACTCATCGCAGCGGCCTCAGATCCGACGATGGCAGCGAACGGGGAGAGGGGAAGCGATGCGGGTGCCCCACTTTTATGATGTTCTCACCTGCCGGAGTTCTGGGTTGGCCAAAGGTGCAACCTTTTCCCTCGAAACACGAGGCTGTTCTCGCCCCGCGGGGCGTGGCAGTGGCTGCTGACACCAGCGCTAGCCGTTCTAGGCCTTTTTGGGGACAGCGGTGTGAAAGGGGTTCACCGTCCGATCCGACCATTAATCCCTCGCTTGGGTTCCGTTCACACCGCGTCATCAATGCGGACTCATTAGAGGCTCGGTCTTGGGGATGGAACGGCCATAGGTCCTCATAACTCTCGACCCTTGACCGTGCTTTTCAACAAGACTTTGCTGTCCTTGTATTGCTGCGAGCCAAAAAACTGTCTCTCTCTTTGAGTATAGTGTAGAATGCTAATAGTGTAAACGTAGTGTATATTTACTATGTTTTATGTATGTATATACACACACCTTTACATGTATCTTTCACATCTTATCTTCTCCTTTTTATTTTTTTAATTTTGGAGTGCAAGTAGCAATGTCGGATCACCCATTTTTTCTCTATACACAGTCTAATTATATACATTTATAATCAGGTTAATTAGAAAGTTGTATGTAAGCAACAACACATTTTCCTAGGCAATGGTAATGGTGGTGTTATTTCAAAGCAAATAAGTTAGCCAACCCATTGTTGACCACCCTCCTATTTCCAGCCTATAGGATGGAATATTTTTGTTAGTTCAATGACTTGTTGTTGACTAGGTGTGACATTTGTTGATCAGAAATAGGTCAAGGGTTGGTTAAAATGATGTTAAGTTGTGATTAGAAATAGGTCAAGGACTGGTTAAATTAACAACATTTTTTATCACAAAAAAGTGTCACAAGATGGAGTGGGAGTTTTCTGATATAGGTGGCAGTTGTTGATTGGTTGGAGTGGAATGATAACACAATTAGGTGCCACACTTCTTAATTTTGTAAAAGTTGGATTCTCAATTTTGTAATCTACCACTAGTCAAAATTAGTTTGGCCTATATGTTGGAAATGGATTGAACAGAATCTTCAGCTAAAACATTTATGTGAATTCTATTTTTGGGCTGAATTGTGTGAAATCACTTGGAATGGTCCTGATTTCTATTTCCCTACATGGAGATATGTTTTCCATTTTTACACATATAAATATATTCTAAAATGTTTAAGCTATCAGAAATGGATTGGCTACCTTAAACACGTGAAAACCCTCACAAACTCCATTAAGATCAAAAGTTTCTGAATTTCACTGAAGAAGGGATCCTCTACCAAGTGAATCTGCACTGGCGCTTCAAACGTGGCTCTGCAACAAAACTGACACCACAAAAGCAATAAGCAGAAGAAGAAGCACACGATGGATGATGAGGCAGACTCTCACCGACAAAAAAAAAAAAAAAAAAAAAAAAAAAACACAATTTCCAGCAACCATTGATGGCTTTTAGGGAAGAAGAAGAAGAAAAACTCCATTTGTGGGGTTCATTCAGTTTGGTTGATCTACTCACTCATCCATGGAAGTCCCTCTTGCAGTTCAGAACAGCTACGCATTGAAATACTTTGAGAATAATTACTGTGGCAGAAATGGGTATATATATATAAAAGTAAGTGTGTGTTTGTGTTAAAAGGATTATACATAGGTTTTAACTTTTTGAAGTTCATGGATAGATAACATTACAAATAAAACGCATTGAAATTTTATGTATTTGGTATTTCTATATATATTTATTATCTTCTTTTGGCTGTATTTGAGTTTTTCTTGTCTTTCATTTGTTATAAAGAGAAAATGTTTAACTAGGTTGTTGAGTGGAATTCATCATTAAAGACAAAGAGAAAGAAACAAAGAGAGTTATTGTGGTTCCATCCCATACAAACAAGCATCCTACCTATTCACAATTCCTCTTTACACTTGAACTCTAGGTTAAAAAATAAAAATAAAAACGTTTTTTTTTTTTTTTTTTTTTTTTTTGGTTTTGTTTTTATTTTCCTCTTTCTTTTTTCTTTTTTTTTTCTTTCTTTTTTCTTTTCTTTTTCTCTTGTAGATAAGAGTTAGCAAGTACTATTATAAACACTACAAATATTTTTCATTTTGCATAACCAAATTGATGAAGGAATTTTCCAAAGTTTATGAACATCATTTCTAGAACTACTCAAATTTTTTAGAGATGGTTTGATTTCGGCCTTTAAGCAGGAATATATGAATGATATTCTGTCTAGGTTAAAAAGAAGAATTAAAAATTGGAAAAAAGTCTTTTGCACTGTTGATACTAATAATGAAGCTTGAGATCTAAGTTGGTGTTTGTCCAATCATTTACTTTTTATAATTTTTTTCCGCAAAATTCAACTATTTAAAGAATATATATATATATATATATTTATATATGCATACATGTGTATTTAAAATTATAATTATTGAGGTCTGCAAAGATCCTTAATTATTAAATGATTGCAAGGTTATATTGAAGAGTTTTAAAACTGTTCCAAAAAGGTTGGCAATTTGAATCCCAACTATAAAAACCTGACCACGCTTGATTTAAAACAAATCAAAACAAAATAATAATAATAATAATAATAATAAAATAATAAAAAAGAAAGTGCATTGAATGGGGCATTGAAATGTATAAGAAAAAAGTGCATTCAAGAAAAGTGCATTGAATCCCGGCATTAAATAAAATAAAATAAAATAAATATTATATTAATATTGAATATAATATAAAATTTTACAGAATATATTTATCTTTTGATATTTTTAAGCTTGGGAGTTTTCTAATTTTTTTATATTTTTTTATATTTTTATAATTTTTAATGCATGCATGATAAGAGTCATAACTTCTAAATCATACATGGTTGGTTACTTTTTTGATATCAGAAATAGAGATTTGAAAGAAATTAAGGGTGAAATTAATATTAAAATTAACTACTTAAAGGATTTTAAATATCACTAAACCATCATCTAGAGATATTTTTATACCCATGTATGTATATATAAAGAAAAAAATTTATTTATCTATTATGAATAGAAAACATGTTAAATCTGTTTTTTTGTGCAGTGTTGTTACAATCCATATTTTCTGAAAAAAATCTTTGAAACTTTTGATTTATTTTGTTTTAAATATTTTGATGACACCAAACTACCAATTTAAGAGTTACAATTTTTAAAATTTTAAATGCATGTAACCATTAAATTTTAGAAGTTTGGTTGTAGCCAACTTACAATTCAACTAATCAACTATCTAAAAATTGCAATAGTTTGTGTGATAATTATCAATCTAATATCCAACTTTAAGAACCATTATTGAATTTTTTTGTTTTCTAAATTTTCCTTCTCATTTGCTAGTTATTTAACATCCTCTTTTTATTAGAACTTATTAATATATATAGTAAATTATTTTTAATCCATTATTTATATTTACATACATACTAGTATATTAATTAGTTAAGATGTTATTAATTAAATTTTGCTTCTATTAATTAACTAATGGTCTTGTTTCAAAACTGGAAAACTATATATATATATATATATATATACATATATACATATATACATACATATATACATACACAAACACAAATAAATTGAATTCATACAAATCTATTTTATGACGATTATATATATGTAGATATATATATATATATATATATATATATAGTTTACTTTTTTTATATTGCATAAAAATTTAAAATGTGTATCTATTTTTTATATATCATGTCATTTTAAAAAGAAAAATTTACCATTAAACTATTCACAAAGAAATGTGAGATATGTATACAAAATAATTAACTACAATTGACATCTAAATTATTTATTTAAAGAGATTAAGAACATTGCCAAAAGAAAAAAATGATGAGGATTCTAAGATAGTCTAATAATACAAATTTTACAATTTATTACTTTTCAAGGTAAAATATAAGAAATACAATTTTAATTATTATAGTCGCTCCAAATGTAGGAAGCAACAAAGAGACATAATTTGCCATAAGTAAGGCACAAGTAAATAGCCATGATTTTATTATTATTATTTTTTATAGATTTAGTCAAAAAATATAAAACTAATTCCACTCTTGTGAGCATGAAAACACAACAAATCTTTTTAATCCAAAAAATTAAAATAACACTTTAAAATATAAAAAATAGATTCAACTATGATCAAAAATAAATTCTACCACTACCAAAAATAGATATAAGAAATGAATCTTTAATTTATATAAGAAATCTAAATATAATAATTAGAATTTTAAAAAATAAAAAATTTCTTGTCATAAATAAAAATAAAAATTAAAAATAATAAAACTCGAGTTATAAAATTAGAATAAAAAATGACTCAAAAAAATATAAAAATATTGTGCCTCACAACTAATGTTAACATTTGGAGAAGATAATTATCTTCAAAATCAATTGTAAAGATATAAACATGAACTTGGAATTCATAAAAAGACTTTAAAAGTGTTGAGAGCATTAAATGTAGCCGACACTCTCCATAATATTTATTGTAGTCTACAGTATTACTATAGCTACAATATTTAGAATATAGTGGAGAAGAACTGTTTATCCTCTCCTCTTCTCCTCTTGTATACGTGACACAATTAGATCAATATATTTTTTGGGTGAAGCTCTATTTCTCTCCTTAGAAACTTTCTTGTGTGTCAGTGTATTACTTACTACTACTCTTGTATCTTTCTAAACATTCTCAACACGTTATCAATACAACTCTTCTACACACTATCACAATTTTTTTTGCTCTAGATTTAATTCTTCAAACCTGTTGTTACTCTTGCTCCTTGTCTGACTCATGATCTTGCTGCACTTTATGCTGGCCCCTCACATATTAGCTACTTTCTTAGAGCACTTGTTCTACTTTCTGCCCTGCTTGCTTAGAATACTTGCCTAAAATACTTGCTTCAGCCCAGCCTCCCTGTTGCGCTCCATGCCTATCGCTAAAGATTTGCAAAATTGTCGCCAAATAATTGCTGACCCCACCACTGACCATTGATCTTGCCACCTTGCCACTGTTGCTAC